ATGGGAAAAAGACTGGAAATAAATTATTTGCATTGATATGTCCTGATGACAATTTTAAAGAAAACAAAAAAAGTGTTTGCATAAATTGAAGAATTATTTCCTATGTTGTGATTGAGAGGTTATGTTGGGGGAGGGGGGCGATGACAACTTCCTCATTGGCTCAAGGGGGCGATTCGTTCAAAAAGGTTAAGAACCACTGTTCTAAACTAGTCCAATTCCCTGCTCAAGCAGGAAAATCTATACTGAGCCAGGAGATGGAGTCAAAAGAGGAATTAGTCTAAGGTCATTAGTACCCACAAATGATCTAAGTCCAACCCCTCTTGGATTCTGTTAACCCTTATCTAGTGCCAAAAGAGTGCTATTAGTTGATTAGATTCCTGTTGCATAGGAATAAGCAATAAATCATTTCAATCGGAACTTAACATGGAGCCTTCGTCTTTTGCGCCTGATAACTAGATGTTGAAGAAAGATACCATTAGGAAAAGCTAGAGGTACCCAACATGATGCCTGGCAAGATCAATCTTCCACTCTGATTTATGTATTTCTCCCCTTTAGTCCCTGAACATTTACCAGAATCTCAACAGGAGGCAGTATGAACATGTAAATCACTTAATGGATATTGCCATTATAGCCACTGATTTAGCACTGTATTTCAAGTAAGTTAATCATTTATTAATTGCTACAGAGAACCCAAATGTTGACACAGTTCTTCAAAATATTGCTACATTTTGAATAAAACAACACAAATAGAAAAAAAAAGTAAAGTGGCTTCAGTAATTTAAAATTTTTTGATCTGCGCTAGTTAGGTTCTGCTCAGTAAAACACAGGCAGGAGTGAGAGGATCTGGAGTATAATTTGGAGAAGGAAATAAGCCCCACAGTGTTAGATTGCTGTTGAATTTACCCATTGTTACCTTCCTTTCCACTAGGTCGGTAGTAGGTAACCTTGGCTCTTTTATGATTTGTGGACTTCAACTCCCAGAATTCCTGAGTCAGTATAGCTGACTCAGGAATTCTGGGAGTTGAAGTCCACGAGTCATAAAAGAGCCAAGGTTACCTTCCCCTGCACTAGGCACTCAAATGGCAGATTTCATGTCGATTGTCTTTTTGTTTATCCCCTCTGTCTCCTGTGCTTTGGGTAAGGCTGAGGAAGTGACTGGCTAAAAGTCACCCAGTTAGCTTTCATGGCCAAGGATACTTCTCTGATCTTAATCCAACACCTTAATCACTACATCACATTGTGGTGTTTTCTACATACAGTGGAGACTATAGCTTCATTGTGCTGGGGAAAGTCAAGCTACAGTTGGAATTGGTTTATTCTCCCAGAATAACATTACCTTGTAAATATTAACGAAGACCCTGATTTCTTGACATGAAGACCCTGATTTCTTGTTGTCTTTGGGTCTGTAAAACATTCAAGGGTGTATTCAGATATGTATGCAGCTTAAGCATTAAAGAACAGGAAGTTGCTTATATTTCAGCAAATTCTGCTTTACACTTTCAGTATTAGGGCTAATCCAATGGACAATCTATATATACAAGGAGGTTTTTTGTTTGAGTTATAATAGGTAATGCAGGGAGTGTTGTTGTTGAGTCTATATTAAAATGAAGTGGGTCCAAGAGGACAGTCTCTTCCTGGATTGTGTGAATTCCTTTCCTATCTAGGACTTGTGCTTTTACTGTTGGGTTACTAAGAAATTACCCTGAATTTTGATGATACTCAAGCTACAAAAAGGGATAATTTTTTCTTATTTGTTTGCTGCCTGCAATCTGTTTTTGTTTTTTTTTAAAGAAAGAGAACAATGTTTCAGAAAATTGTTGAAGAGTCAAAGTCCTACCAGGATCAGAAAAAGTGGGTTGAATATTTGTCTCTGGAAAACACAAAGAAAGAGATTATTATGTAAGTGATCTCTTTTTAAAAAGCTAAATATATAAATGGCAACAATTAAAAACATGAAATCGTATATTATCTCAGGTTAAATATTAGTACTAAACCAGGTGTAAATTGCTGTCATAACCTGAGGACTATCTATATGCAGTATATTTACATAGGCATGTATGCATGTATGCACATGTTAGATCTTTTTTGTAAAAAATGGCTATCAGGTTAGAAAAGGGGTGTCAAACTGCCAGCCCATGGGCCGGGCGCGTCATGCGGAAGCCATGCCCACCCCATTGCCGGCAATGGCAAAACAGTCCCGATACGTCACGCGACATCACGTGACATCGCAAGTTTGACATGTCTGGGTTAGAACATAGGTTATTTGAGAGACTTGTTGGGAATTAAGATATGGAATTATTGATGTTAAGTTTTCAGTGTTCTCTCTAGGAGGGATTACTCTCAGTGCAGACATAGACCATAGTCATTTAAGCCACTTGGATTGGATGAGAATATTCTAACAGCTGCCTTTTGGAACTAACACTC